AGAGATGGTGAAGGCCTGAATGGAGTGGGCGGCAGTGAGGGCAGAGAAGGGGATGAATGTGAGCGATGCTGGGGATGGAGCCTCTACTCAACATGGCAACTAACTGAACAAGGGTGAAAAGGCGAAGGAAAGAGCTGAGGATGACTGGGACGTTCTAACTCTAGGTGCCTGCAAAGATGATGGCCTCCTCAAAAGAAATACAGAAGTATATGCCAGGGGCAGGTCTGGGGGGAAAGATCATGAGATCCGTTTTAGACATGTTGACCATGAGAAGACTTTGGACGTTAGTGCAAGATATCAAAAAGGCAGTTTATGATCCAGAATGAAATTCAGCTCTATCCATAAACATGGGAGTCATCTGCATAGAAATAACTATTTATCAGTGAAGGCTTATGAGTTCAGAGAAAGAAAATGCAGCAAGAGAAAAGAGCTTGGGACCAAGCCCTGGGAGACAAACAGGGTCACAAAGATAGGAGGCTAACGAGAAGAAAGCAGCTCCTTGAAAACCCAAGGAAGAGAGACCACCTAAGAGATGGAAATAATCACTTGTGTCAAACCCTAGAAAAGGCAAAAAGAATTCAGGCAAAGTAAAGGTTATCAGGCTTAGCAATTAAGTGGTCACCATTCAGTTATGTGGCAAAGTGACAAGCTCCGATGAAAAGCTGAGAAGGAAGTGGGAAAGGAAGAGGAGGAAGAAAAGAAAAGAAGGGAAAAATAGGAAACTCTGACTTCTCTAGGAGTCTGGCTATGAGAGGAAGGAAAATTATATGGCAGTAGGAGCAAATGAAGGTTTTCTAGGAGGAAAGAGAACTAAAAATGCCTGTAGTTAAGAACCAGGAGACAGAGAGAAAGAAGAGTTAAGTATCGGGTTAAATTAAGTTAAGTTAGCTATTAAACTGAAACACTTACCTGTTCTTTCTCCTATCTTCTCTTTCCCTGTCTCCTGGTTCTTAACTACTACAGAGAAAGCAAACCATAGACCAATTTCCTTGATGAACACTGATGCAAAAATTCTAAATAAATACTAGCAAGGTGATTACAACAATACATCAAAAGATTTCACACTACAACCAGGTGGAATTTACACCAGGAAAGCAGGGTTGGTTCACATTACGAAAACCATTGGCATAACAGACCATACCGTTAACAAAATGATGCTGGGTGAAGTGAGCAGAACCAGGAGAACATCGTACACAGTAACAGCCACGCTGTGCGATGACAAACATTGATAGACTGAGCCCTTCTCAGCAATGCAAGGATCTAAGACCTCTACAAAGCTCTCATGATGGAAAATGCTACCCACATTCAAAGAAAGAACAATAAAGTTTGAATGCAGATTGAAGCATATTATTTGCTATTTTTTCTTCTGTTTTGTTTTCTTGTGGTTCTTTCTTGGGGTTCCTCCTATTGGTTCTAATTCTTCCTTACAACATGACTAATGTGAAAATATGTTTAATAGGAATGTATATGTATAGCCTATATCAGATTGTACACCATCTTGGAGAGGGAAGTGGTGAGGGAGGGGGAGAAAAATTTAAAACTCAAAAGTTTATGGAAGTGATTGTTGATAATTCAAAATAAATTAATTTAAAAAAAAACAACAAAAATCATGTGATTATAACAACTGCTGCAGAAAAAGCTTCTGACAAAAGACAATACCCATTCCTATTAAAAAACACTAGAAAGCATAGGAAAAAATGGAGTCTTTCGTAAAATAATAAGTACTACCTAATCTAAAGAAAAGATCAAACATTTCTGTAATGGGAATAAACTAGAAGCCTTCCTAGTAAGATCAGAGGTGAAGCAAGAATGTCTATTATTACCACTATTACTCAATATTGTTCTAGAAATGCCAGCTATAGCAATAAGACAAGAAAATAAATTGAAGGAATAAAAACAGACAACGAAAAAACAAAACAATCACTCTTTGCAGATATGATGGCATACTTAAAGTCTAGAGAATCAACTAAAAATTTAGTTAAAACAATTAACAACTTCAGCAAAGTCACAGGATATAAAATAAGCCCATACAAATCATTGACATTTCTATGTATTACCAACAAAACTCAGCAGGAAGAGATAAGGAAATTCCTTTTAAAATAACTATAGACAGCAAAAAAATACTTGGGAGTCTACATGTAAAGACACACTCAGGAACCATAGGAACACAATTACAAAATATTTTTCACACAAATACAGATTTAACCAATTGAAAAAATATCCATTGCTCATGGGTAGGATGAGTCAATTTAATAAAAAAGACAATTCTACTTAAATTAATTTACTTACTCAGTGCCATACCAATCGAACTATCAAAGAATTATTTTATAGAGCTAGAAAACATAATAAAAAAATTTATTTGGAAGAACAAAAGGTCAAGAATATAAAGGGAATCAATGAAAAACAATTGTGAAGGAAGGTGACCTAGCAGTACCAGATTTCAAACTATATTACAGAGCAGTAATCATGAAAAGAATTTGATACTGTCTAAGAAATAGAGGGGTGGATCTGTGGAACAGCATAGTAATCTAGTGTTTAATAAATCCAAAGATACAAACTTTGGGGGGGAAGTTCTCCAGTATTTTGGAAGTTTGGAGGAACCTAGGCATAGACCAACATCTCCTAGCAAGAGAAGTTCAAAATGAGTACATGATTTAGATATAAAAGGTGATATCATAAGTAAATTAGGAAAGTATGGGAAAATATACCTTGGATGAGGATCTGTAGATGAATGAAGAGTTTATGAGCAAACAAGAGATAGAGAGGATCACAGGAAATAAAATGGATAATTTTGATTACTGTAATTAAAAGAGTTCTTTGCACAAATAAAACCAATGCAGCTAAAATTAGAAGGAAAGCAGGAAACTGAGTAAAAAATTTTACAGCAAGTTTCTCTGATAAAGGCCTCATTTCTGAAATATATAGGGAACTGAGCCAAATTTATAAAAGGGCAATCCCCGAGTTGATAAAGGATCAAACAATATGAACAGGCAGTTTTCAGAAGAAATCAAAGCTATCAATAGTCACATGAAAAAATGTTCTAAATCGCTACTGATTAGAAAAATGCAATAAAACAACATTGAGGTACCACTTCACGTCCATCAGATTGGCTAACATGACTGAAAAGGAAAATGACAAATGTTGGAAGGAAGGTGATCAAGACAATGATCTATAACAATTCCAAAAAATACAGAATGAAAAATGCTATCCACCTCTAAAGAGTCAACTGATGACGACCGAAGCAGACTTTTTTAACTTTCTTTATTTTTCTTGGTTTTTTTTCTTTACAATGTGACTAATAAGGAAATACATTTTATATGACTTCATGCATATCATGAGTATTACGTGGCTTGCCTAATCAATAGGTAGAGGAGAGGCAGGAGAGAGGGCGAGAATTGGAAACTTAAAATTAAAAAAATGAATATATAAAAACAGAAAAGAAAAAAGAATAGAAACTCTTTGAAGGTAAGAACTGTCTTTTTTTGGCATACAAATGTATTCCCAGTACTTAGCATAGTTACTGGCCCATAGTAAGCAAATATTTTATCTATCTTATCTATCAAAAAGTAAACATCCAGGGGCAACTAGGTAGCGCAGTGGATAGAGCACTGGCCCCAAATTCAGGAGGACCTGAGTTCAAATCCAGCCTCAGACACATAACACTTACTAGCTGTGTGACCCTGGGCAAGTCACTTAACCCCACTGCCTAACTCCCCAAAAAAAGGTAAACATCCACCTTTTCCTTAAATATCTCCAGTGATGAAAAACCCATGACTTCCCCCAGGTATCCCGATGAACTCCTGGGAACCATCAAACTGCATCAAGTCTAAATCTTTTCAGCGTGTCCCCAGTGATCTTAGTTTGGTCCTGTAAATTCCCCCAGACCATGGCTAGTCCCTCTTCCTAACTTACAGCGTTTCATATGCTTGAAGACAGCTACTGTCACCTTACATCTTCTCTTCTCTGGGCTAAAGAGCTCCAGTTTTCAAAATAATAATAATAAAAATAACGATGACGATGATAATGGTAGCTAATATTTCTACAGCGCCTACTGTGCACTAGGTACTGCACTAAATGCTTCACAGACATGATCTCCCTGGGAGGCAGGTACTGAATTAATCCCCATTTCCAGCAGACAGCAGTGCTCGGCAAGCCCAGTGCTTCCTGATTTTCTCAAAGTATTCTCCTAAGGATGAGCTTTCTGGAGAGTCTAGCCTTTAACCTTTCTTTTCTTGCCCCTGGGTCTTTTCTCCAACACGCTTCACCACGCTTCATGAATAATAACAGCACTCCCCATATGTAATATTAACGATGAGACAGAACATCTGCATAACGTTACACACATTATCTCATCTGACCCTCAAAAGAATCCTATGAGGCTGAAGTCCAGAAGACTGAACATGAAACATGCCCTTTGTCTCCCGTCAGAGAAGTGATGAGCTTGAAATGACAGGAGAGACATATGCTTTCAGAACTAGGTTAAGAATTAAACAGGGCAGCTGAGTGGTCAAGGAGACCTGAGTTCAAATCCAGCTTCAGATACTTACTAGCTATGTGACCCTGGGCAAGTCACACACCCTGCCTGCCTCAAGTTCCTCATCTGTAAAGTGAGCTGGAGAAGGAAATGGCCAGGCCCTCCGTATCTCTGCCAAGAAAACCCCAAATGAGGTCAGAGAGATCATGTACAGCTGAAAAACGACTGAACAGAAATAAAGTATTCGATGAGATTTTCCTCAACTAGCTGATTTTGGAAGCTGGAAGTCACCATTAAAAATGGCATTTAAAAATCCAATGATTTCAATAGGTCATATTCCTTCTCACTTTTCAAGTCGGAAATTTATCTCCACGTTGTTAACCAAGTTATAGATTTAATATGTATTACACAAATCCAAACTCCAAGAATAAGAAGGGAAAACAATCTAACCTTTAGGCTAGCCCTAACAAAAGGAGCTGCCATCCTCCCCTTGGAAGCTGGAGCAATAAAAGAAAGAACAGCTCACCTTCGTGGACGGTAATGCCACAGTTGTCGCACTGGATTATTTCGTCAGCATCCTCGCTGTTATCTCCAAGACAAACACAGCAAATCAGAATATGATCCATTTTCTGAGCGCTCCAGTTTTGACTCTTCTCAAGAATCAGCGAGTCCTAGGAATTGAAATGTTCAAACACATTATTTTTACTGTCACGTCTCCAATGATTATTAAACGGAAAGATACAGTCTTTGTTCTCAATTGAGGTTTGTTTTCTCCCCTACAGGCTATTCATTCCTTCCATCCTATATTGCGCTCCTGTTACCACCTAAGCCTCTTGAAGTCGCACCTCACCTCTTCTAAGTGCCAAGAAGGCAAGGAGGACTGTCCACCTAAGCAGTTCCCAAAGGCTCACAGTTAGAGCTGAACTGGAAGGAAACTTAGAGGTCACTCAGTACAGTGCCTGGCACTCTAGAGACCTTTAATAAATGTTTGCTCAATGACTGATCTCAAATCTGACCCTTTTCTTTTATCGATGAGGAAACTGACCACCAAGAAAGGCTAAAGGAACATGCCCATGGTCACAGAAGAAGTTCCTTCCTTTGTTATTCAAAAAACACACCCAGAAAACTTCCTAGAAAGAAAAGGTAAAGATTCCTTTGACCAAAAGCACAATTGTGTGTGTGTGTGTGTGTGTGTGTGTGTGTGTGTGTGAGAGAGAGAGAGAGAGAGAGAGAGAGAGAGAGAGAGAGAGAGAGAGAGAGAGAAAGAGAGAGAACCAGAGGGCAAAAAAGGGGTGTGAGGGGAGAAAGAGACAAGACAGAAAGACAGAGAGGGAGACGAGAGAGACAGAGAGACAAACAGGAAGACAAAAACAAAGAGAATGTACTTGTTTAAAGTGGTGAAGAAATTCAGGACGTGATTTTCGCTCTGCAGAAACCAGGATATATATATATATACATGAAGCAAAGACTGATTCCAAGACAACATATTAGCAAGTACGTGATGTGTACTTTGTGTCTCCAATCACCAGGCACTGGGCTAACAAGTACAAAGAAGGGAACACACTCTAATGGGAAGGAGCCCCTGCACATTTCATGTCTGTTAGCTGACCAAGAGAAAGTGATGCATTCTGCATCGATCATGACCTAGAGGGGACCTCCAAGATCGTCTCATTTTGAGGCTCAGAGGAGACAGTGACGAGTTCCAAGTCCCAAAGAAGGAAAGCAGCAGGGATGGGCTACAAAGCCAGGTCTTCTGTCTCAAATCCAGCGTTCTTCCCAAGACAGTGTCTGAGATTTTGAGAGGTTCGGAGCAAACGAGAAGGTTGTAAAGAACCACTAGACTAAGGACACCATGAGGGGAAGGTGAGGGAAGGCCAATTTCAGAAGAAGCCCTCTGCATTTTACATTGAACCCATTATGGCCTCCAAGGACAGAGTAAAAGTAATATGAGCACACTTTTCTTGGCCAAATGTCCAGTAAATCTTACGCTATATACTACTTGGCATAGCCTCTGGGCCTCAGTTTCACCATCTATAAAATGGCCAAGCACTGTAGGTATTACTTACCTCACACAACTGTTGTGAGGATCAAATGAAACAGGCTGTGTCAAATACTCTAAAAATTCAAAGTGCAATGTGAATGTCAATAGCAGTGATTTATTATCACTATCCTCACCTAAAGCCATTTCAAAGGAGCCTTCCAAAAGCCATTGAGTCTGTGCCCCACAATGTCCCACCAGGAATATCAATTTGGGGCTGTAAGGGCCCTGAGGGTTCTCCAAATCTCTCATCTTATAGATGAGGAAACTGGGGCTCATGAAGGCAGGATTCAAACACAAATCCTCACTGCCAGTCAGAGCAGGGATTTTTGTGAGCACTCCTGATTTAAGCTTAGAGCAGGGTCACCTCTGAAGGGCTGACCAAGTGACCTGGCCACACCGCTGGAAGCTAGGCTGGGCTAGAAGGCTCAAGGGTGAGCTTTACTTTATCACGGCAATGTCTGACTGCAGACAGACCAGGCAGGCCTTGGGCCAAGGGACAGAGAAGTGACAGTGTGGCCAAGGCAAACAGAACTGTCAGGCCTTAGAAACTAAGATGAAAAAGGGTGCGAGGATGTCCCAACCATTGACAATCATTATCACACATGTTTACCTTCAAGCATTTCACCTCAACATGCACAGAGTCCAAGGCGAGAAACAAGGTGTGCTCCCAACAGGCCAAGAAGCTCAAGGCCCCTCTGGGTGTGGGGGGGAGGGCGGGAGGAGCACCAGCAGCTGATTCCACCCCAGCTCACACACTAACAATCTGGAGACTTTCCCAGCATGTCACTTCCCCTCCTGGGCCTCGGGGCCCCTGATCTTTAAAATAAGGCCTCCGCAAGGCACTGACAGGGGTTGGACTGATGGGATTTTTTCTATTCTTCCACTTTTTTTCTTTTAAAAAAAATCTCTGTTATATAGGAGGGGGACGGGAAGAGAAAAAGGGGGAAATTAAGGTTTTGAAAAACAGAAGATATCAATCATTGCTTTTTAAATGAGGGATTGGGAATAGATAAACTCAGTAATCTGAACTTGGAATCAGGAGAGCCTTAGGTGAGAAGTCCTTACCTGGCCTCAGACACTTACCAGTTGTGTAACCCTGGGCAAGTCACTTAACTTGGCCTCAGTTTCTTCATCAGTAAAATGAGGACAACAATAGCACTGCCCTCTCAGGGCAGTCGAGAAGCTCAGATGAGGTAAGAATTGTAAAGAGCTTAGCACAGTGCCTGGCACAGAGCTAGCTCTGTATCCGTGGGAGCTACTGTTGTTATTATTACATGCGACATTAACAGCTGGTGACCATGGACAAACCACTTACCTTCTCTGGGCCTCAGTTTCACCATCTGTAAAATGACCAAGTACTGTAGGTATTGCTTACCTCACACAACTGGTGTGAGGATCAAATGAAACAGTCAATGTCAAATACTCTAAAAATTCAAAGTGCAATGTGAATGTCAATAGTAGTGATTTATTATTACTATCCTCACCAATAGTTGGGGACTCTGTGAATGCTGCCACAGCTTTGGAGTCTCACAATGTCAATACAACCTAGAGGATATCTTAACATAATCTGGGCAGCATCAACAGCCCTCCAGCAGAATCCCATCAAACCCAGTGAATCTTCAATAAAGTGGTTACCCTATATACCAGAAAAAGCAGCAGATTAAAATGGCACCTTGAACAACCTACGCCATATCTGATCAATCGGCAATCAACCGATAAACATTATTAAGAACCTACTATGTGCCAGGCACTGTGCTAAGCACTGGGGATACATACAGGATACAAACAAGGCAAAAAACAATCTCTGCCCTCAACGAGCTCACCATCTAACAGGGGAGACAACATGCATAAATATATACAACGCAAGCTACATACAGGATGAAGATGAAATAGTTAAAGAAGGAAGGCACCGGAATGAAGGGGAGTCAGGAAGACTTCCTATAGAAGGGGGGATTTTAGCTGGGACTCAGAGGAAGCCAGGGAGGTCAGGAGTCAGAGCTGAGGAGGGAGAGCAGTCCAGGTCTGGGGGATGGCCAGAGAGAAAGCCCAGAGGTAAAAGGAGGGTTTTGTTCAGGGAACAGCCAGGAGGCCAGTGTGTTACCGGATCAAAGAGTATGTGAGGGGACAAAGGTGAAAGACTGGAGAACCAAGAGAAAGTGACGTCCCAAAAACCTGGAGAGAAGAGAGGCTCAGGAGATTAACAGTGCCCACTTCGGCAGAGAGGTCAAGGAGAACGAGGACGGAGAAGGGTCCTCGGACTTGGCAACTAAGAGATCGTCAGTAACTTTGAAGAGGGCAGTTTGGGTAGGATGAGAAGGTTAGAAGCTAGATTATAAGAGGTTAAGAGAGTGAGAGGAGAGAAAGCAGAAGCACTGATTAGAGAGGGCCTTTTTGAGGAGTTTAGCCATAAAAAGCAGAAGAGACACAGAATGGTAATTAACAGAGCCGGAAGGACCAAGTGGGGATTTTCTCAGGATGGGGAAGACATGGGCATGTTTGCAGACTTTAGGGAAGGTGTCAGTAGACAGGGACAGACTGAAAATAAGTGATAGAAGGGAGACAATCTGCTGGAGAAGACGGGGTGGAATGGGATCCCTTGTGCAGGCAGAGGGACTGGCCTTGGCCAGGAGGAAGGCCACCTCATCATGAGAGATAGGAACAAAGGAGGAGAGAGAGAGACAGATGGGACCTGAGTGACAGAAGATGACAAAGAAAAGGGAACCAGGAGAGAAATGTAGTGAAAACCTAGGGAGGAAAAAGAACCCAGGCAGAGAGGGTGGTCAACAAGGTCGAAGGCCCAAGAAAATGCCATCCAGGGTGGCCCCCGAGAGGTCAGTGCTCACTCTGGTGAGCAGAGTTTCAGCTGAGTCATGCAGCAGTTCAGAAGTTAAGCCACAAAGAGCTGAGAAGGAATGAGAGGAGAGGAAGTAAAGGCAGCAAGAGGAGAGAATTTTTTTTTTCTAGGAGTCTGGCCAAGAACGGGAAGAACAGGTTGAGGGGATGGCAGATCTAAAGAAGGATTTTTAAGGACAGAGAGATAAATGGGGATGTAGGAAGGCAGCAGGGAGGAATGACTGGAGGGAAAGGTGGAAGATTTGAGAAAGAAGAAATAGCTGAGAAAGCGACCTGCTAGAGGGGACAGGAAGGGAAGGGGTGATCAATTCCCCTTATTCCCACAAACCCATTTTCTTATTTCTCCATTTCTTTTCTTTCCTGAAATAAAAAAAAAAAAAAGCCATGTTGTTAGGTGGGATTCCTCACTGACCCACACAGCACGTCACCTTCTAGGCAACAGAAAGCCATCAAGTCCTTGGAAAGGGGCTATCACCAGCTACAGGGAAGACCAAAATGGCAACTCTCGGGCTGCAAGCGGAGCAGCCCTCTAATGCAATCATCCCAGGCTATGTCACATCCACAGTGACTGGCAGTCTTCAACGAGGACAAAGAAAACCTGCTGGATGCACGTAGGCTCACTTCAGGAGGCCTGAGAGCACACAGGACTATGTACGTGCACCCCGCCCTGAGGGCTGTCCACTTTTAATCTCTAATGTCTCCACTCATTTATCGCCAGCTTTTGCTCAGTCTTCAGGGCCCAGGTTTAAATCTCGCCTCTAACACTATCTTTGCAACCTCAAGGGAGTTACACGCTTCCTGGACCTCAGTTTCCCCATTTGTAAAATGAGAGAGTTGGACTCTTCCTCCTCTAGATCTAAGGTCCTCTACGGTCCACCGAGCTCCTCTCAAGTGCTACCTTCACCACGAGGCCTCCCTGATGGGCCTGACCGGACACATCATCTGGAAGGGCTGTCTCATTTTTGTCTTTGTACCTCTGCACCATCTATGGGCACCGTGTCTGCCACACAGCAGGTGCTTAATAAACGCTGGCTGATTGACTGACTGATCTATGACACTCTGCTTATCATTTCCAGCCTCCTCCCTTCCCTCCTCCCTGTCTATGGGCTACGCAGAGCACACTACTTGTTCATTAAACTAACTTCTCTTCAGAGGATTACAAATCCTACACAAGAGGCCAAGTTGTGCACAAGGTTATACGTGTGTGTATCCAAGGGAAGAAAATCTGGGACCGATTCACACAAAATGCCATTAAAATAATCCTGTTACCTGAAGAGGAAGAAGAAACACGCCAAGAAATGTTCAAGTCAATATTTCTTCCTCTTGGTTCCTAAGAAGATTAAATTCTCAAGAATCTGAAATAATCATACAAGAAAACCCAAAGCTACACAACAGAGACTTTTTCTCTCTAACATCTATCAAGTTCCCACTAAAATGATTTTGATCATCCCCTAACTAACTCTTACCTAAAACTTTGAATTCTTCAAGTGGGGAAAACCCTTGATTGGGAAGCAGTCACTGTAAAGACCCAGCTGCTGTCACTAAAAGCTCACTGCAGGGGAGACTTTCAAAGCTCTAAAATGGAAATTATAAATCTAACCCGAAACACTCACTCAATTTCTGTGGAGCTCAGAAACAAAGAGAGAAGACCTGGAGAGGACAGGGAGCCATCTTAAAGCCTATCTGACTGCACTGTGCTTGAGGGCCACACCCCAGTGGGTGCAGCAGAAGACCTCAGCAGGTCAGAAGAACCTACTCAGTGCCCAGATCATCGTCAGACACCCAGAAACTTAAGCCGCCCATCTCAGCTCCAAAGTAACCACGGCTCCCCTTGGATTGCTTTTGTACAGCCAGGAGGGCAAAAGCAGAAGATTAGCAAATGGAAGGAAGGCACAAACAAACTGACCCTCTCTTTTAATCAAATTGCACTTGGGGTCCCAGGGTTTGATTATGACCTGGAGGAGAGACAAAAGAAATTAACCGAAGTCAGCAGGAAGGTCTATAAAATCTGGCTAAGGAAGAATGGGCCTATAGACTTTTGAATAAAAATTATCCTTAGTGGCGGTTAGAGCCTCTCTCAGACAGGAAAAGGTGTTAAGCACCAGTCTGTATTTTCACCTGGGGGAGAACAAAAGCCGTAAGACCAGAGCACATCCGCAGCCAAGCGTGCACTTTTCTCTGCAGCCCATTAAGAAGCGGTGGGCCCTCAGAAGGCCACAGCATTTCTCACAACTGTCCCTTCTAAACCCACAGAACTCCCAAGTGCACTCAATTCTCAAGTATCAGTTCATGGCTGAGATATCACGACCGGCTAGCTCTCTGTATCACCAATCCCAGGCTTGTCTCCTCCCAGCACCTGGGTGCCGTCTCCATCTATGTGCCGTTTCCCATGCTACCTGTCGGTGTGCTCAGAGAGGACATTAGTGCTGCATGATAACAAAGGTCAATCTGCCCAAGCCTGCATGCTAATTGTGTGCACACACCACTAAATAACAAGCACCTGTACTGATAACGAACCACATCTCCACACGCCATCCAGACTCTGCACCTAAAGACTAGTTCTCCTCAAGGTGAAGATGACAGCAGAATGACACTTGGTCACTTCAGAGCACGACAGGCTGCCCTCCTGGGACGCGCTCAGACCCAGGTGGATTGCCCAGGTCCAATCGTAAGCGCCTCCGTCACCTGAGACAGTAAAGGTCCTCTCATGAGCACCAGAGAAGACAGCGAGGAGGCTACACGCTCTCCGTGAGGATCACCAGAAATATTCGTCAAGTTGTTTAACATCAGAAATGGGGGGGGGCTTCTCTGCACTTGTTTAACCCAATTCAGTGAAATGATAGAAACAAAAGAACAGCAAGTTTTTAGTCAAGGAGTGACTGAAAAACCTGTGAACAGAAGCCATGGCAGACTTAACTACTCGGGAGTTATTTAATAATATTATTACAGACTGTTATTAATAATATTATCATTATTAACCACCCTGTAGTTAAGTAGGATGGTGCAAGCACATCCACATGTAGCATGACATTTCGCTCAGTCTTTCTGTTGAGAAAAATAAACACATACACGGACAAACACACGTACTGTACACGCCAAAGCCCTGGAAGGACGTTTTCTTCACCGCCGCATCTCGGGCCCCAAGACACAACCCTAACTCTCAGGAGGACTTCCTGTCAAAGAACTGGGTCATTAGTGTAGCTCTGTCCAATTGGTAACAATACTCGGGAGGGAAATGTTTGGTGCTGGCCTTTCTTTGCTGAACAACTATGTCATGAGGAATCTAAACATAAGGACCCTATTTAAGCAACCGAGTAATTTTAGGACACGTCTTTAAGTTCACATAAACCTGAACTTGGGATCAGATGCACCATTCCGGCCAAGACTTGGTGCTCTGAGAGAGAGGAATGCACATTTTAAGTAAAGCTAAACAAATTAAAAACAAAAGAGCCTGGGGGAGGGGTGTGCTGAAGGGGTGGGTCAAAGGTCCCTGGGGGGGGTTGGGGAGGGGCTCTGTGGGGAAAGAGCATCCTTGGGCACCACGCCAAGCACTTTACCAATGGGACTCATTCGGTGCTGAGGACAGCTCCGGGAGGCAGGGGCCCTAATCTGCTGCCGGCCAGGAGCAGTGAGGGGACTGCAGTTTTCCGGGGCACTGAGCGTGCCAGGCCCAAGCTCCAGCCAGGGCTCCCACGGCTGTCCAGGGAAGCCTCTTCCTGTGACCAGTCCCCCCGACAGACAGATAGATACCACAGAAACTGGGATGCTCTACCTCATTGCTCTTGCTCTGAGAAAGGGTCAGGCTATCATTGGTCAGTTCCTCGTCGTCCGCACTGTTCCTGCTGAGAGCCCGGCCTTTCCTCTTCTTGCCCGGCCCGTCGCTGGCGGGGCTGCTGTGGTCTTCGTCATTGCCGTCGTCATTCTCGTCGTCGTCGCTGCCGCTGCCGTCATCCTCATCATCCTCATTGTCGCCGTCGCTGCCCTCTCTCTGCGAGGCGGCCTTGCCCTTCCTCCGCGCCGCAGCCGGCCGCCAGTCGTTGTCGTCCTCGCTGTCGTAATCGTCCATGTCGTTCAGCTCCTCCATGGACACGAAGTCGAGGAGGGGCCGGTTCCTACGCAGGTTCCACTTCTTGGGCTCGCTGGCCTGCTCTCCGGGGGCCGCGGGGGGCGCAGCCCCCTCAGACCCCGAAGCTTTGTCCTTCTCCTTGCGCTTTTTGGGTTTCTCTTCACTCTCCTCCTCCTTCTTCTCCGTCTTCCCCGGGGCCTTCTCGGCCGCGACAGCGTCCTCCTCCACGGGGCTCTTCAGCAATTCTGCCTCAACTTTTGCTTCCTCAGCGAGATCCTCCTCCGGGACATTTTCTTCCGAGTCACTACAGGACCCTTCTCCACTGTCCTTCGAAGGGTCTTCACTTCCATTCCCACTCCCTTCAGAATCTGTTGAAAATATGAGAAAAAAAACCACACATATGTATATACACACACACACACACACAACGCTGACACAGATGAAGCCACCAAAATTTGTGAATAACTTGCAAAATGATATATAAACACATTTTTTAAGTAAAAACAAAATGACCAACACCCCCAACCTGGTCAGACCCTACGTGAGAGAAAGCCTGCTCAGTGGCATCCACTGAAGACAGTGCCAAAGAGGCCTATGTGCCCTGGTAGGCAAAAACCACATGCCCACCTGTTCTGACCCCTGTTCACGGGCACCGTCCAGGTCACCACCAAAAAAGAAATGTAAATATCGAGTTTTCCAAAAATTTTAAGTATGAACACAGACCAGATTTTTTGTTTCTTGCATCTTCTTTCCAGACACTGTTCTGCCTTTATAATGAATGAAATGTCCACATAGAACAAAAAGACATAAGAGAAAGAACAGCCCAAAAAGCGTACTTCCTTGTATTTCTCTCTCTCTCTCGGCAGCCAGTTGGAAACCAGGCCCTGGCTCTCAGACCCAAGGACCAAAGAACACCTCAGACTCACCCCCACACTGATCATACATATTCTCCTGGACGCCTTACAAAGTGCAGGGAGTCCGGACCTGCGAAGGCCCTGTAAGCTTGGGATTACCTTACTGATGACGGTGTTGTCCTTTTCCTTCAGGGACTACTAAGCAGTGTCCAAGCAGGACAGCTATGGGTCTGCAGGGTGGTCCTCAGACGATCTATTATTTCATCAATGGGAGCACTCCCCACCACAAATACAGATGCCAACCCCACAAGATGGGTGCGCCATCTCTGGCCAGACAGCTTATCCCCTAGGAAGCTGACCTTGTGACCTCAGGCCTCTTCCCCTGAGCTGAGGCAGGACCCCTCACCCCCACCTCCACACACCCTTCACCCCCGGCCCCATCCACCACCCCCAGCAGAATCTGCACTCTGAAGCCAAGCCCTCTGGGAGCCAAGGTCAACGCCCTGGCACAGGCTCTGGAGGGGGACCCCCTGAATCACATCCCGTGCAGAGGTGAAGAGCAGGTGAGGGCTGGGGTTTGGGAGGCCCACAGGGCCTGCCTGTTCCTAACCAGCCATTCTGTTCACTGCCAGGACCTTGCAAGCGGCCCAGCCATGGACAGGAACCCTCCTTCTCCACTGGAAAACCTGGCCTGAAAGGGAGGAGTCAGAAGCCTGGGGTGTAGACCTGGCACGGCCTCCACCTTACTGTGCGACCCCAGGCAAGTCACTAAACCACTCAGGGCTTTGGGCTCCTCATCTGTAAAAAAAAAAAAAAAAAAAAGACACTGAACACGATGATGTCTAAGGACTGTCTGGGAGCGCCAAGAGGCAATGATTTCCTTTGGCTCCTAAATAAAGATGAATCCAAAGTCCACAAGAAATAAGAAGCAGAGAAGGAAAGGGAAACCAAAACCGTCGGCACCTGCAGCTCTGGAAACCCAGATACAAAGCCTGCAGGGGCTGCCGCATTTTCTAACCCTGTACGCAAGAGCGTTCCCAGCCATCAAGTCCAAAGAAGGTTCCCGCCTGGCATCCTAGGGACTTTGGGGGGGCTGCCACAGCCCACAGATATGCGTGTGCCAATCTCTCGCCACATATCACATCACTTCCAAAAAAATCACCCACCCTTGGTCTCCAGAAACTAACTGGCACCAAGAGGGAAAAGGACTGCCATGCATTAAAAATGACATCGAACCTTCCACAATTAGCGCCTGGTCTCAAAGAGGGGCTACGAGAAATACCAGCTGAACAGAGCTGAGCTCAAAGGGCCTGCAAACCAGCTTCAAGACAAGACAAACTCCAGACACTGAGCAGCTGTGCTCTGGGGTCTGCTTCAATCACCTCCCACCTGGTCAGCCTCAAACACAAATGATCAGAAACTGAACCGTGTTGGCCATCTACAGTCATCCCAAAAGACAAAAAGGGCAACATTATCTCTCTTACGAATGGAATCCCTGGACAGCCCCAAGGCCGCGCTTCTACAAATAAATGCCGTAAAAATAACCGGTAGCAGTGACTTAAACGTTCAACTCCCTGAGATTGCTCCATCTTATGAAAATTATATTCTAGCCGCTTTTATTGAAAAGGTCAAACCACCAGTTCTGACTCTGATTTTCCCAATTAATACTATTTCGTGTACTCTGTCTTCTGGGTCTTTGCTGGGAGGTGAGAGTTACTCAGAGAGATGAGCAGAAAGGAAGCTTTTCCACTTAACCAGCATGCTTGCCAGCCTTATGGCTCTTTAAAAAAAAAGGTAAATTTTAAGAATGAACTTCAGACAGAAGTTTTGGTCCTTAGTCATATAACCAATTAATCTTTGGGATTAGTGAGGCAATTCTCAGTTCTTAAGGATCTGAGATTTTCTTTGCTGTGGTTTAGCTATTGGTGCTAATATTCGGTAATTTTTAAATGCTAAATTGTTAAGTAATGACTTTTATCAGGTTTGACTGCTAGTCAATAAAAGGGATTCAAATGTTCTTGAGCAGGTAAAAGTTTCTATGTGGGAATTACTCTCCTATGAGCAAATCAAGTTTCCCTACAAATCCAATGTAAATCTCTAGTTTCATTTAAGCAAGAATTCTGATTTTCTCAGTCATAAGAATCTCTCCCCAAAATTGCTATTTCTATAATGAAAAACTATATCGTTAAGGAGTCAGTAAACTACCACTAAGCACTCCTTCAAGGTGCCGAATAACAATAATAACACCAATAGCAAACGGACATCCGTATAAGTATATACATGTGGTAGCTAGCATTTTAGTACTAGTGAACATTTACATAGAAAGCTTAAAGGTTTGCAGCACACTTCACATATCATCTCATTTTATCCTCTCAATAACCTTGGGAGACAGGTGCTACTATTATCCCCACTGTATAGATGAGGAAACAGGTTGACAGAGGTAAAGTGACCTGCCTAGGGTCACACAACTAAGTAAGGGTCTAAGGCCAGACTCAAGTCTTCCTAACTCCAGACCTGGAATTCAATCCACTGAGTCACCTAGCTATCTCTTCATCTATAAACTAATCCAACCAATGTTGACCATCAATGTCATTAAAATCAATACTTAAATTTTCCCCATAGGAATTTCTTTCAAGTTGAAAATAATCACTAATCACATTGACTCAGTTTCTTTAGTAGGCAGGTGTCAGGCAGGCTCTCACCAGCCAGATGAGACTCTGCCCTTCATCACCCGTGACATCCCCACCTTCTCCCCACTGCCCACAATGGCTCTCTCAGGGCCAGGGGTGACTCCTCTCTCCCACTCCCCCACGTTCAGCCAGCGCCCCAAACCTGCCCCTTTCTACTGCCACCACTAGGACCTAATCGCCTCCACCCTAGATCACTCTGTGGAGGCTCCCCATTGGAAGAACACCCCTTCTCTGACTCAGAGGATGGAACGAGCTTAAGCAGAGATTCCTGCCATTCAACACCATACTCATTGCATAGGGTCCCTGCTTAAAAACCCTTGAGCTCTGTACCCCAGGAGATTAAGTACCATGGCTCAGCATGAATCCCTAAGTTTAACCTTCCCTCCCACAACTGCCCTCCATGGAAACCCGATGCCAGCCCCAGGAGCACACCCCCTCTCCCTCCACACCACAAGTCCTCTCCTGCTTTCCCTGCTCCCTTGTACAGACCATCTCCACCATTATGCTCATCAGAAAAGCCTGGCCCCCTTTTCTGCCCATCCACAGACCAACTAATTAAGCCTTCCCAGACTTTCCCCACCAGGGGAATACAGTGAAGAGATTAGGGCTCTGGCCAGGTGGGCTCACCAGATGATGGCCTTCTACTGTCTGTCTGTGGCACAGACATGTGCTCTTGCTCGAAGATCCCTGTCTCGTCTCCCCAGCTAGGCAACAAGCTGCTTCTGGGGAGGGAGCACCCTGCGCACCGTGCCTGGCAGTGTGTTTTGCACGTTTCAGGCACATCCCACATTGACTGTTCTCAAATTATTTTATGGGCAAATGAACCAAATGAATACCCAAGAGGATGCAAGTTCTCAGATATACTTCTCCACTTCAGATTTTTAATACAGTGACTTTCAATGTAAGTAACGTGAATGTATCCAACATTCTCTAGCTGGCCACTCACAGACAGGTTTCCTCAATGTCCATGTTAATCTACTTTCGTATTAAGACAAGGTCTACTACTGAGTGTGATGATGATGGTGATGGCAGCATTTCTACAGCCCTACTGCGTGCCTGGTACTGTGCTAAGTACTTGACAAACAGGCCCTCATGGAATCCTCACACCCGCCCTGGAAGGTCTGTCCATGAGTCCATGGGGAACACTGGGCTAGCAGAATGAACACTAACATGGATCTGAGACTCAACTTTTTTGTGTTTTCAGCAGTTTACTCACAAAACTGGGCAGCACTAGATTTCATAATTTATTTTCTTGGTCAGTCGTTAGGACGGTGAGCCATTCACCCAGAAGTGAGCGATTCATAAAACACAGTAAGCTTACTTTAGAAAAAAGAAAAGAGACAATCTAGTCTAATGATTTTCCGTGTATATTTTAAGAGGGCCAACAGTTCCCTGAGATATCTTTAGGAGCAGGATTTAAAACAGCATGGAAGATATTTACTAAAGACTAAGTTGGGGGCAGCTAGGTGGCACAGTGGATAGAGCACCGGCCCTGAAGTCAGGAGGACCCGAGTTCAGATCCGGCCTCAAACCAAACACTTGACACTTACTAGCTATGTGACCCTGGGCAAGTCACTTAACCCCAACTGCCTCACCAAGAAAAAAAAAAGACTAAGTTGCAGGCACTGTGGATGCAATGGCACAAAATGGTTTCTGCCCACCAGGGGCTCATACAATTAATCTCCTGGCACATAGTAGGCGCTCAATAAATGCCTACTGTCTGAACATGCACACAGAATCAAATACAACCTGGATAGAAAGTAATTTCAGAAAGAAGGGGCCCGGCAATTGGGGGTACCAAGCGGGAGGATCAGGAGAAGCCTCGGCACCGAGATAAGCTTGGAAGAATTCAGGAGGGCACGAGGCAGAGGTGAGATGGCAGAGCACTACAGGCATGGGGATGGAATGCCGGGCACAGCAAGTGGGCAAGTGTGGCTGGAACCCAGAATGTATACAGGACAGGAAGGTCAGCTAGAGGCAGATCATGAAGAGCCAGAGTCTGTATCTGATCCTAGAGGCAACAGGGAGCCACTGGGGCTCGTGGAGCTGGTGAGTGACCTTGTGAAACCTGTGCTTTGGGAAGGTCACGTGGGCACCCACCATGGAGGATGAACTGAAGGGAGTGGGAGAGAGGGAGGAAGAAGGAAGCAATAGCACGACAGGCAAGAAGAGATAAGGCCCTGACGGAGGGAGGTGGCCACGTGAGCAGACAGCAGGAGACGAGAATGAATGAGCCCTGGAGCTTGACGAGAGGTGAGGAATAAGAAGTGCTGAGGCTCCCTCTAAGCTTGCAAGCCTGGGGGTACACTGAACGCAGAACCGGCCAAGTTTGGAAGTGGGAAGGGTCTGGAGTGAGTGGGAAAACGAGTCGCAAGAGCCTGAGATGCCACGGGACGGAACCATAATGTGAGAAGCGATGGCTGGAGAGGCAGATTGGGCAGATTTAAGATCTGTCTGCACAGAAGTCATACTGCCCAGCAACTGATGAAATCATCCAGAACAGAGGGGGCCGGGCACGGATGATGACCCCACACAGGACAAGGAGAAGGAGAACGGGCAGTCGGGAGGGCAAGAGGACAAGAACACGGCAGTGTCCTGACAACCCAGAAGGAGGGGATGGTCCAGTGTCCCAGGCCACAGGCCCTGGATTTGGTGACACCGTGGAAGGTGTCTCTGTTAAGTGGGGAGCGTACAAGTGAGGAAGCCGTGGGGGAGGAGGAGGAGGCAGTGAGCACTGACAGTTTTTCATGGGAGGCTGACATGAAAGGAAGAAGACACACACACAGGAGGACAGCTCAAACGGGTCATTGCCTCAAGCCTGATCCTCACGGGCAAGGACGTCCATTTCAGAACCATCCATGTAAGAGTTCTGCTTTCTGTGGGTGTGTGTGCACACGTAACATGTATGTACTTGCACACGTGTACAAGCGTGTGGGGGGCTTGTGCAGTGTGTGTCTCTTACACTCGCACAAATCTCTCGGGTCCAAGCACAGAGAGGACCGGTCCGGTCGCAGTGACGCAGACGGCGCACTGGCTATCCTCGCAGGCAGGGGGGCGCCGTGCCCACCGCTTCTCCTCCAAGGCCCCCTCCTGCTCCAGGCCAGCAGCCCGAGGACCCTCCCGGCCCAGGGGGCATTCCACCCCCCCCACACACACACCCAGGGAGCCTTGGCTAGTGACCAGCGGTCTGGGGCGGGGCGGAGGACAAAGGAGGCGTGGGGGTCCCCAAGTGACCGCTCGGCTCTCCCTCGGCCTGGAGCCTCGAGAGAGGGGGCCTCGTGGCCCGGACCGACCCGGAGGGTCTCCTCCATCTGTCGATCACGTGGATGCCCCGCCCCGGGCACGGCCTGCCCCCAGGAGCTCCCCAGCCCGGTGCGGGGAGGGCGCACCTGGCGGGGGGCCGGGGGCAAAGGCCGGGGGGCGGTCCTCCCTCGGCCCAGGGGTTACCTGAAGCATCGCCCACTTTAAAGTCGCTGTCATCGGAGCTGTCATAGTCGAGCGCCTCGAGCAGGGACGCGGCCAAGGGCTTCACGGGCCTCCGCTTGGAGCTGCGATCCACTGCAGGGGAGAGACACAGGGGGCGTCACGCGGGACGGCGGGAGCACGCGGCGCCCCCGGCCCCGCCCCTCCCCCTCCCCGCACTCACTAGGGCCGGCGTCCGGGGCGCGGGGCCGGGGGGCGCGCGGGGGGCCGGCGGCGGCGGCCCCGGAGGAGGCGGCGGAGGCCCGGCCCTGGCGGCCCGGCCGTCCCCACGCGCGGCCCACTCCGGGCCGCCCCGCGCCGCGCCCCCGCCCGCCGCAGCGCGCGCCCGTCTCCGCGCCCGGGGAGGACGTTCGCAAGAGGCCCACGAGGGCACGGGCCCACACCGACGCCCGCACACAAAGGGCCGCTCGACCAGCAGGACGCGGCGCGCGGGGCCCAGGAGCGGAACGGCGAGGACGGGGAGCCGGGCGCGAGCCGGGAGGGGGCGGGACCGGAGGAGGGGGCGGGACCGGAGGAGGGGGGCCCGACCCGAGGAGGGGGGCCCAGGAAGCGAGGTGCGCCTGCGCCTGGGGGCGGGGCCGGCGGCCAGGAGAGTAATGCGCCTGCGCGGGAGGCGGGCCCGGCGAGAGGAGGTGAGTGCGCCTGCGCCGAAGGCGGGGTTAAGCGAGGGGGCGGAGCGAGACGGACGAGCCGAGGAAACAAGGCGAGCCGAGCGGAGGTGGACCACCCGGGGAGCCGCACTGCGCCTGTGCTTGGGGCGGGGCCAGAGGCTAGGGGAAACAAGGCGGGGGAGGAGCCAAAGGAAGGGGCGGGGGAGGAGCCAAAGGAAGGGGCGGGAGAGCGCCTGCGCCGGGGAAGAGCTAGGCTAGGCAAGGAAGAGAGACGCGAGCGGAGGGGAGGAGCCAGGGGGAGGGGCGGGGTTGGAGGGGCGGGAGCGCGCACGCTCTGCCAGGAGCCTTTGTTTGGCTCTGATGGCTCTGCTGCCAGACTTGCCGGTGGTAAGGGGGCGGACCGGAGCTCCCCGTTGAGGTTGGGCCTGCGAAGCCCCGGGAGGCCCGTGGAGACGGAGAGACTGGTTTCTGAGATGAGAATTTGAGAACTGTAAAAACTAAAAATAAAAGGATGGAGCGGGTGGCCCTTCTGCTTCTGCAGCAGGTTTCCTACCTCCAGGCTTTTATCTAGTACTGGCAGCCAGCACTTTCCTCCCAGTTCCACCGCTGGGCACCCTTCCAGCCCTCTTGGAGACCCTCCCCCCCAACCAATACCTTCCTCCCCACAGTATCTGAGAATGGGTGGGGGCAGAGACATCAGGGTGACTGGTATAACTCAACAGGGGCCAGGGACCCTGGTCATCCAACTCCCAAGAGTCCAAAGCATAAGGAACCAGTAGCCGGTGGGTTGTTCAGGTGCTGGGCAGGGATTCTTCAAGTGGGCACACACCAAGGTGAGGACAGCCCTGCTCCCCCCAGCGCCCTAAAAAACCCCGAGATCAGGGATGTAAAGAAAAAGAAAAGACAGGACATGTCCCTGCCCAGGAGCCCAGAACAGAGCCTCCTCCCCCATCCCGTTCCCCTTGCTAGCCTGTGTCCGGGGCTTTGACTTGTGCAGTAAGAAGTGTGCAGAGGACTGGGCTGGCTGGACACAAGGCCAAGGGAGTGAATCTTGGAGACCATTCGTCATGTCCCTGAATGCTGGCGCCCTTCCCCAGGACCCAAGCCCTGTCTGTCCGCTCCGGGAGCCAGATGGGCACTTGGGCATCTTTGAGGCTGGGGATCCCAAACTGGAGGAGCCTGGAGAAGATGGCCTTTCCTTTCCTGATCTCTCATTGCATTCCATGAGGTTAACAGAGAATCCACGGATAGCTGTGTTTGAGGAGCTCCAAGAGGACGGTGAGGCGGCCTGGCCTCCTGGATAGCCTCGCTGAAGAGTCTGCAGAGACCTGGGCTCAAATCCTGCCTCACATACTCACTCCATCTTAGCTCAGTCTCAGTTTCCCCCTATGCAAAATCAGGCTAATACAAGCACCACATCAGAAGGTTACACTCCATTGTAGCTACCCGGGTTGCACATTTGGTGCAGACTGAGGAGGGGACCTATGCCTAGGGTGGGGAGGGGGGAAGCATTTAGATGGTGCCTGCTGTGTGCCAGGAGCTTTGCTCAGTGCTTTTTACAAGTACAGTCTCATCTGATCCTCACAACTGCCATGGGAAGGAGGTGTTATCATTATCCCCTTTTTGAGGAGGAGACTGAAACAAAGTGACTTGCCCAGGGGTCAAAGAGCCAGCTTTGAACTTGGGGCTTTCTGACTCCAGGCCCAGCCTAAGGCCATGGATTAGCACAGGAATTAGTAAAATGCCTCTGGGCTCCTGCCTCCAGCCTGCTGTGAGTTTGCAGGGGAGTGACCCGGGCAGAAAGGGGGCCTGGGGCTCAGCTGCTCTGACCCTCCGAGCCTCCTGGCTCTCCCCAGCCTGGGCCACTCCCAGGATCCCAAAGAGCACACAGCCCCCAATGCCCACAGAAAGCAGCAGCAGGAATTCAGTTCCATTAAAGACGTTTATTAGGTGCCTGCTATGTGTCAGGCACTGCAGACACAAATAAGAAGAGAAAGACTGTCCCTGCCCCCGAGGAGCTGAAAAGGGAAGGGCCCTGAAGGTAGGCAGAGCAGGACCAAGAAAGGTCCAGCCAGTAAGTCCAGAAGGGCCGGAGCCCAGCCCAGACCCAGAGTCCCACCTGGGAAATGAGCCCGGGATGAGAAGCCAAAAGAAAGAGAACCCGCCCTAATGGCCATCGTGGGGACAGAGCCCTCCGAGCCACAAACCTGGAAGAAGAGAGTGGCCCCAAAGCCTCTTCCAGCAAAGCCACAAAGAAAAACCCAGCCGGGGCGCCGGTTCAACTAAGAGAAAGGCTGAAAAACATTTGTGTAAGTTAGATGAGAATACTAGGGGAAACCCTTGGAAAAGAGGTAAGAGTTGTGGAGGAAACACTGGAAAAGACAGTTCACTAAGCTCAGGAAATGCAAAACCTTACCTGAGCAACAGATGCTCTGAGGCTGCTAGGGGCGCCAGGGTGCACAAAGCTCTGGGCCTGGAACAAGGAGGAGCTTGAGTTCAAATCCTGTCTCAGACACATACTAGCTGAGTGGCCTTGGCCAAGTCACTTCACCCCTGGCCGCCTCAGTTTCCTCAACTGTAAAGTAAGGATAATAATAGCTCCCACCTCCTAAGGTTGCCGTGAAGATCAAATGACATCAGATTTGTAAAGCCCTTGCACAGGGGGTGTCTAATAAATACTTGTTCCCTTCCTCCTGGAAAATTGGAATAATCCAAGCAGAAGTTAATGACTCCATGAGAAAACAAGAAATATTAAAGTAAAAAACCTGGGTGGGGGTGGGAGAGGAGAAGAAAACGTCTGCCATCACATAGAAAAAACAACATCTGGAGACAAAAAACAGATCAAGAAGTAAGAATTTATTTTTTTCCATTTTTTATTAATTGATTTTGATTTATTAATAATCATTTCCATATGCTTTTGAGTTTAAAAGTTTTCTCCCCCTTCCAACCACCCTCCCCTTGATGGCGCACAATCTGACATAGGCTATATATTTACATTCCTATTAAACGTATTTTCACATTAGTGATGTTGTAAGTAAGAATTAAAACCAATAGGAGGAACCACCAGAAAGAGGAAACAAAACTCAACAGAAGAGAAAAAAAAATAGCAATTCAACTTCCATAGTTCTTTCTTTGTTTGTGGATAGCATTTCCATCAGAGAGACCTCAGGAGATGTCTACGAAGCAAGAATTTAAAGATCAATGAAGAACCAGAATGCCAGGACCAAGATAGAAGCCAGGACATCAGATATCAGCACCAGAGGGATAGGTGAACCAGTTTTTAAATACCTGAAGAAGTTGAGTTGTGATTTGTTTCCAAAATAGATGAAACAAATGAGGGGAATGGAAGGTTTCCTGTGTTTGTTTTGTGTGGGAAAGCCTCTTTCAGCTTTAACTTAGGTGATAAGAGGCTTCCCATCTTTCCTGGGACTTTCCTGGCCCCTTTAGAAATGTCCCCATAAAAACCTCCATCCCAATTTACTGAGAAGTGATCACCTCACCCCAGCCGGTCAGGTCAGAAGGAGCCGTGGAGCACACCTCCATCCTCCCGGCTGCTGGCGCTCCTGGTCCTTCTCCTCCCCACAACTCTGTGCAGAGCCAGCTTTCAGGATGACTCAAAGTGCTGCAGCACGTTACAAAGTAGTCAAGTCTTCTGCTGAAGAAAACAGTTTAGCTCACTTGGCGTTTTTTGTCCATTCTGCTATATTAAGCAGAGTAAAACCTTAAACATTTTAGGGAAAATGTCCATAACGGATTTTCCTTTATTGGAAACACTGTTCAAAGAAAATAAACAGAGAAAGTGAACCCGTTTGCAGATTCAAGCAGGATGGTTATGTGACCCCCAGGAGAGAGCCTCCCTACCCTGAGCGTGCATGGAAAAGGGCTCATTTTGAGGGCTAAGCTAAAAGGTGTTCATATCACTTTGGCCAGTTTTGCCCTCACTGAGAGTTCACTCTGGGAAATCTCCAAGTAGAGCTTGGGTAGAGATCATGTGCAGGTTTCCAAAAGCAGAATGTTATAGCAAAGAAGACATTGGTCAGGAAGACCTGGGTTCAAATCCTGCCTTCTAATCTCATTAGCTGTATGGGATCCTGGGTAGTCTCGTAACCTGTCTGAGCCTTAGTCTCCTTATTTGTAAAATGAAGGGATAAGGTTCTTTCCACTCTAAACCCAGGATTCTATGAATGTAACCAACAGGGTCTCTAGCTCTTATATATACATTCAAGGTTTAAAAGGGGGGGAGGGGCATACCAAGAACAGAATATCCCCATAAAATGCAGAAGATGCAAGTACTCAGAGTAGCCCCTAATTAGTCAACAGGATTCCCCAGCAACACCCTTGAGCCTCATCTTTCCATGAGGAGCCTAAAGTCCTCCCAACTTCATTCCGCCATATTGGATCTGCTCTTAGAAGAATTCTCAATTTGAGGTTTCTAGCATCCTGAGGGTGCCACAGGGCCGTCCAGTGTCCCCCAGCCTCATGGGGTCATCTTATGCCCTGGCTTTCCTCAGAAGCATCTTAGCGCTGCTGACTTTGGCTTTCTCATGGCACAGCTGTGCTGATTTTTACTTCTCAG